ACTCAGCGATAGCCAACAGGCTTCACCCCTAAAGGTAAAGAGACAAGATCTCATGTATGATAACACTGAAGAGCGTCCTTCTCTATCTACATGACAAGAACCTATTAGGGCTCCTACATAGCCTCTGAAACAGAGCGAGGAACCGGCGTGTTTGATAAGGCCATATTATAAGCCCAAAATGTAGGAAAAAGATCACTATAAGAAACATAAGTAGAGATCGGATATAAAGTCCTGGCGGTCCAATCATAACGGACAACTGGACGGCGATCACGTTGCGGATAATAACGCCCTAAATCATCATCCTCCGCTGACAATGTCTCATCAGAGAAAGTGACTGGCTCAATACGTGCAATCTCATCAGTACTAACAACAGGTGTATCAATATGCTCAACTAACTGAGAAGTATTACCTGTATCACCTGAGATAGAGGAGACATCAACTGGGGGAAGATAGCGAGGACGACGAACATAAACCTATAAAAGAAGGGAGACTGATGACTCTGTACTGACAGGGACGAGTGACTCTGGTGGAGGAGATACTGATGACTCTATAATGATAGTGATAGTGACCAATGGCTCTGGCTCTTGTGGTAACGAAAAATCAAAGGGAGTATCATCAACTGGAGAGACAGACACAGGAGTGGAAGAAAAATAAGGAATATGTTCAAGAAAGGTAACATCTAAATTGTGATACATACGGCGCCTGATAGGATCATAATACCGATACCTCTTAGACTGATGATAATAGCCCACAAAGACACAACAAATTGTTTTATCATTAAGCTTATGACGAGTATGAGACCGATCTTGAACAAAACATGTGTAGCCAAATACACAAGGGAGGACCGAAAAGAGTGTCTGCTCAGGGAATAAGACTTGTAAGGGAGCCCTATGCTGAAGAACACAACTTAGTGTACGATTACATAGAAAGGTAGAAGTCAAAACAACAAAATTCCAATAAGATTTTGGTACCCCCATACCTCTAAGCATACAACGTACCATCCCTATTAGACTTCTATTTTTCCTTTCAAGAACTTTATTTTGCTCATGAGTATATGGACAAGTGAGCTTCTGAAGAATACCCTAAAAAGAAAGATGAGACACTAAGGCATAGGACACATATTCTTTGGCATTATCCGAATGAAGAGCACGAACAATAACATCGAATTGTGTCTTAATCATCTAGAGAAACTGAGTGATAATAGGGGTACATTAGACTTCCTATGCAAAAGATAGACCCAAGTACAACGGGTATGATTATCTATAAATGTCACATAGTATCGAGCACTTGATAGGGCAGTAACAGAAGAAGGTCCCCAAATATCAGAGTGTATTAGGTCAAATGGCTTGGGTGACTGGTGCATGCTAGGAATATAACTGGTCCGAACATGTTTCGATAGGGAACATATAACACAGTCAAGTTTATCACCAATACAAGTATCGCTCAAAGCAGGAAATAACATACATAAATATTTAAAATTTGTATGTCCAAAACAGTCATGCCACAATTGAACAGTTTGTGATAAAAATCATAACGACAAGTACTAGGCAAAATACTAGCATGCAAGCTAGGAACAGATAAAAACAAAACAGGTGCCGGTGATAGAGGTGGAGAAACTGGTAAAACTGGAGGTGGATCGCCTAGATAATACAATCCATCTCTCTCATGTTCCCTGATAATAATCCTCTTAGTACTCAGGTCCTGCAAATAACACGAGTCAAATAAAAATACAACCGCATAGTGAAAATCTCTAGCTAACTAATGTACGGATAATAGATTCATGGCTAGTTTTGGCGCATGAAAAACTAAATGTAATGTAAAGCTATCTGAGAGGCAGACTGTACGCCTACTAACAATAAGGGTATGTGTTCCATCTGCTAGCTGAACCCGTGTATGTAACTGTTCGTCAAAAGTGGTGAAGTAATGGACCTCACTTGTCATATGACCATTCACACCTGAGTCTAACATCCAAAGGGGAGACGAACTGGCGCAAGCATGAAAGGCACGATGTATACCTGTAGTGGTGGCAGTAACAGTAGTCGGACCTTGAGAAGTCAGGGCGGACATAAGTATATCCAATCAGAAAATGATAGCGCATCTATATCACTCTGCCAAAGAGGAGCAGCAGCAAGAACAGCGACAGTAGGTGGTGGTACCTCAACAATAGAAGCACTACGGTTGCGGGAAGGCGACTTAAGCTCCGGATAGAACTTCCAGCAAATAGCCCTGAGATGGCCTGGTCAGCCACAATAATCACACTGACGAGAACCAGAACGTATATTTCAGGTGGAAGTACTAATAGCAGAGATCTCAACCGTAAAGGTCTCAAATCCCTTAGTAGTAGCCATAATAATAACAATACGTAGGCACCCGTGATAGAAAAAAAACTCTAAGATAAATAGAGAGATAAAATAAAGGAGAACAATATACTTCCTGTCGAACAGTAGTGACAGATAAAGGTCCAAAAAGCTCCCAAATAATCAGGTCACGGTGCCCAGAAATTCAATAAATATAAATAAATGATCTACTGCATCAAGAGCAGATCAATGGAGAAGAGGATTCAACCCCTCTTGAAAAAGTCCAAGATACTGCAACCTGGCAGCATTATGATGAAGAATGCAAAGGACAAAGTCACAACAAAAAACGCGACCCAATAGTGGGCTGGACAGTGACCCAGTAGTAGGCAGTGGGCTGGACTGGGTTGGTCTAAGTTTATTAGGTTTGGGCTGAACAGTGACCCAGCTTGAGATGATGTTTATTGGGTTTGATGTTTCGGTGCAGCAGGTGTATTGGTGTGGGCAGTATTGGGTTTGATGTTTTGATGCAGTAGGTGTATAGGTGTGGGCAATCGGTGGCTTCTTGAGGTTGCTGTGAAGGATTGACCTTTGGGCAGTCAGTGTAGATTGGTGTAAAAAGGACTTTAAGGCTGTCGGTGATCTGGGTTGTGGTTTTGATGAAAGGGCTGTTGGTATAAAAAGGACTTTGGGGCTGTCGATGTGGCCTGGGCAGTCGGTGTAAATGGTATGGTTAGTAGGTGGTTGTGGTTTTGTCGCTAGTTTAGTCGATTTCATTGGGCAGCTGATGGCCAGGGTGGTTGTGGACTTAGCTTGGGGGTTTTGTTGGTGGGCAGTGGCTAGTTTTGCTTTGGGTTGGTGGTTTGCTAGTGAGGGAGTCTTGGTGGAGGCTAGGATTAGGGACAAAGTTAGGGTTAGGGTCTGGCACTGATACCAACTTCAAATATTTAAAAGAGAGAAAAATGATATAAACTAAGTGTAGAGCCCCGTATATATAGCCAATGAAAGTTTACAATAAGGGTAAAAAGGTAAAACAAAATAAACCCTAATAAATTAGGTTGTTATATCTCCAACAGTAATCAAAACTATTTAGACACCAACATTAGTTGATAATTACTAAAATATATCACCATCACACATGAATAATAATGCAATGGAAAGGATGGTCCATAATGCTAGATAGAGACATGTGATAATACTCCCTCTGTTCCTAAATATCTGTCGTTTAACATTTTTGCACAAAAATTAAGGAAGCTATTAAGTAGCTCTAATATGAGTAAAAAATAATTGCACAAAACTAAAATATCCTTATTCAATACGTATTAACAAGGAAAGGAATATAAAAGGCACTTAGTCTCCACCTAATCTAATGCATTGAATAGTTAAGGGTAAATTTGGAAGAAAAAATATTAATTATACTTTGGTTTCATTAAACAATAGATATTATGGAACAAAAAAAATTGTGTAAAACGACAAATATTTAGGAACGGAGGGAGTACTTCCTAGTAAATGTGACTAGTTACTAGATATAAAGGGAGTGATGCAATAAGTGTATCACCATACTTAGAGAGCGCCTCTGCCTACATCCAACAGCTGAACAGTGAACACAACAACATCAAAAAAAGAACCACATTGTACTGGTGTATGCCTATACTTAAAAAGATTTCATTTTTTGACGTTATTATGTCTAAAGAAAATACCATCGTCCAGAGATCTAAGTCACTAAATGGAAAGGAAGGCCCAATAAACAATATAAATGTAAAAACACATAATAAAAAAAAAAAATACATCATCAGGGTATGCAAAATCTATGGAAAATCTTCATCCAATTCTGACCTCTTTAGTTCATTTAGAATTGGCTGAATGCAACACAAATTTCATTCTATGTGCAGCCAAATTATTCTGCTTTATGCCATCAGAATGCCCATGAGCACTGAGATTGGCTACCCAGCGTACTCAATCCTCAAAGGACAATAGATGTGCTTTAACTAGAGCAAGTAGAGAGCTACGGAAAAAGCCCAGCTGGTACAATCAGATATTTCCTATCTTAAATCTGATAACATTTAAGTAAAGCATGAAGCAATTGATATTAACTTCACAAGTCTGATTGAATATTAAGAAGTTGGTAGAATAGGAGGAATAGGGTGATCATGACATTTGTCTGATAATCCTTCAATCTCTTTCAGCATTTGACATCAACGGTCAATTCACCTAGTCAAGATAAATGATGATTGGAACTAGCCCAACTGGACAGCCATGAAGAAGAATAAGAAGATATAATATGTGCATAGAGAATGTAAGAATATGATCATCCAACCCCATTACTAGGCATTTCTCGCATTTAATTTTTAATGTCAATGAAGGTGAATCAAGGTTGTACCAGAAGCTATCCCCCCTCTTCCTGTAGGGAAATGACAAACATTAGGAGTGAACAGTAAAATATCAGCAAATGATTTGAGGATCAATTCTACCCATCTAACAACAAGCCGCTAACCCATTGCTGAACATTCAAATGGATAGAACTTCCCAAATTAGGTGCAAGACGGATGAACATTTAAGGAAATTAGGCTCAGTTGTTTCTATGCACCTTTTTCTTTCATATGAACTGCACTCCTCCTAAGCCAAATTGGCCTTTCAGACTTATGAGTTGGATGATTTCATGAAATAGCGGTGGAATGTTACAGAATTGTACAGAGCATTACTTACTTGAGTGGATGAAATCATATGGACTTCATTGCCCCCATCCATTGTCCATACCAAACTGCTATGTGGCTCCAAGTAGAAGTGCTCCTGACCTCCTACCTGAACCTCCCCCAATATAATATTGTCACATTCACCTGATCGGAAACAGAGTTCAACATCCCCCTTTGTCAAAGTCTTTTCTGTATTAGGATGAAAGCTGTTAGACTTGAGAGCATCTTGAATTGATAAGATTGCAGGTAGCTCTTCATACTCAACATGAACCTTTCTAGCTGCGAGTTTTGCATTTTCTTTTGTATCAGCAACAACGACCCCTATAACCTGCACGCAATTTATGCATAATTGAGTGTGCTTAAAATAAATAAAATACTAAATAAAGCAAGGATCTGCCATTAACATTTGCTTGACCTAAAAACTCAAAATGTGTTTAATTAATCTTGTACGGCTAAGATGGGACATAACACGTCTTTAGGTCTTGCATAACCGAGACCATTGGGTTGCTTTTGACAGCTTTTAGAATGGATTTGTGCTTCTGTTGTAAAGGATTGCATAACACTAATATTCTGTCACTAATATTTGTGGTTATGGATCCAATTTTGTAAATACTATTCTCTTGAAAAGTGTTGTTTGAATTTTGTTAAAAACAAAGCAGAATGTTCACTTCTATGAAATTCCTACCCAAGCCCATAAAGAACGTTCTAGCACATGCGAACAGTTAGATTGTAAGGTTTTAGGGGGTGAAGAGAAGAGAAAGGTTTGAAGAAGATGAAAAGAGGAGAGAAAAATACACTCCAAACTATATGAAAACACAAGGAGTTATAAAAGCTTCAAAAAATTCCCTAAACTAAAATAAACATACAATATAAAACTCCCCCTCAAGTTGGTGCATATCTATCTCTCATGCCCAAATTGTTAATATTATTAAGGCTAATCAAAATCAATAATCCAACATACACAAAGGATACACAATGTAAGCCCTTATATATATGGGCAACAAAGTAATATAAAATGCCTAAACTACCCATAAATACTCTAACATCCCCCCTCAAACTCATGATATGGTAGCATCAACATCAAGAGTTTACCAAGAAGGAAACGGACACGCGCGATGGTGTGAGATTTTGTAAAGAAATCTGTCAACTGCATAGTAGATTGAACAAAGGGAAGAGATAACGTGCCCAGCTGAAGATGGTGGCGCACAAAATGACAATCAATCTCAATATGTTTTGTGCACTCGTGGAACACCGAGTTATGGGCAATCTGAATAGCACTGGTGTTATCACAATACATAAGAGTAGGAGCAGACAAGGAAATTCCAAGATCAGTAAGTAGCCAACGCAACCAAACGATCTCTACTGTTGTAGAGGCCATAGCACGATACTCAGCTTTAGAAGAGAATCAAGCCACAACAGTTTGTTTCTTACTTTTTCACTAAATAAGAAAATTACCAAGAAAGAGACAGAAACCAGTAGTGGACTTGCGATCCATAGAGTCACCAGCCCAGTCTGAATCAGAGTAAGCACGAAGCTCCAAAGATGATGAGGAAGAAAATAATAAACTCTGATGCAACGTACACCGTAGATATCAAAGAATCCGAAGAATGGCAGACCAGTGAAGTATAGTAGGAGCAGTAACAAACTGACTAATAACATATACCGCATAAGCAATATCTAGACGAGTAACAGTAAGATACATCAAGCTCCCAACAATAGTACGATATAAGGTAGGATCAGGCAGAAGAGAACCATCAGAAGAAGTATAACGAGCGTTGAGCTCCAAGGGTGTGTCAACCGTCTGAGTATCCGTTTAAGCAAGCTCGCTGAATAGCATTTGAGACATATTTGGACTGAGAAAGAAGATAAACCTTGGGAGAAGAAGCAACCTCAATCCCTAAGAAATATCGAAGTGGACCCAAATCTTTTATCTCAAAATAATCCTGTAACTGAATTTTCAACAACTGTATTCCAGCATTGTTATTACNCTCATGCCCAAATTGTTAATATTATTAAGGCTAATCAAAATCAATAATCCAACATACACAAAGGATACACAATGTAAGCCCTTATATATATGGGCAACAAAGTAATATAAAATGCCTAAACTACCCATAAATACTCTAACATCCCCCCTCAAACTCATGATATGGTAGCATCAACATCAAGAGTTTACCAAGAAGGAAACGGACACGCGCGATGGTGTGAGATTTTGTAAAGAAATCTGTCAACTGCATAGTAGATTGAACAAAGGGAAGAGATAACGTGCCCAGCTGAAGATGGTGGCGCACAAAATGACAATCAATCTCAATATGTTTTGTGCACTCGTGGAACACCGAGTTATGGGCAATCTGAATAGCACTGGTGTTATCACAATACATAAGAGTAGGAGCAGACAAGGAAATTCCAAGATCAGTAAGTAGCCAACGCAACCAAACGATCTCTACTGTTGTAGAGGCCATAGCACGATACTCAGCTTTAGAAGAGAATCAAGCCACAACAGTTTGTTTCTTACTTTTTCACTAAATAAGAAAATTACCAAGAAAGAGACAGAAACCAGTAGTGGACTTGCGATCCATAGAGTCACCAGCCCAGTCTGAATCAGAGTAAGCACGAAGCTCCAAAGATGATGAGGAAGAAAATAATAAACTCTGATGCAACGTACACCGTAGATATCAAAGAATCCGAAGAATGGCAGACCAGTGAAGTATAGTAGGAGCAGTAACAAACTGACTAATAACATATACCGCATAAGCAATATCTAGACGAGTAACAGTAAGATACATCAAGCTCCCAACAATAGTACGATATAAGGTAGGATCAGGCAGAAGAGAACCATCAGAAGAAGTATAACGAGCGTTGAGCTCCAAGGGTGTGTCAACCGTCTGAGTATCCGTTTAAGCAAGCTCGCTGAATAGCATTTGAGACATATTTGGACTGAGAAAGAAGATAAACCTTGGGAGAAGAAGCAACCTCAATCCCTAAGAAATATCGAAGTGGACCCAAATCTTTTATCTCAAAATAATCCTGTAACTGAATTTTCAACAACTGTATTCCAGCATTGTTATTACCTGTAATAATCATGTCATCCACATAAAGTAATAGAAGAATGAAACCAGAAGAAGTGGATCGAAGGAAGCGAGCAGAGTCATGATCACTAGCATAGAATCCTAAGTCACATATGACTGAAGAAAATTTTGTAAACCATGCCCTCGGGGCCTGTTTAAGACCATATAAAACCTTGTGAAGTTTGCACACATGACCAGGACTACAAGGCAACCCAAGAGGGGGGAGTCATATAGACCTCTTCAGATAAATCACCATGAAAAAAAGCGTTTTTCACATCCATCTGAGAGAAACTCTACTGACGAACAACTCCTACAACAATTACTGTCTGAATCGTGGTCATCTTAGCCACTGGAGCAAAAGTCTCATCGTAGTCAAGCACATACTCTTGAGCAAATCCCTTGGTCACTAATCTAGCCTTGTACCTTTCCACAGAACCATCAGATTGGGTTTTGATTTTATAAACCCACTTACAACCAATGGGGCGTTTACCATAAGGTAAAGGCACCAACTCTCAAGCTCGAGTCTTATGTAACGCAGAAAGCTCCTCATCCATAGCCTGTTGCCAAAGAGGATCAAGTATAGCCTCTTTATAGGAGGTTGGTTCAGATAGAGAATATATAGAAATAAGGAAAGAACAAAAATCAGAAGAGTAACAAGAGTTGGACCAACCAAACCTGTCACACTTCCGAGTGCGCTGAGGGTAGCGGGGAGTGTGATCCATGGTATCAGAATTTGATTGGGAGCCAGGAGGTTTAGATGAAGGCACAACATCTGTGGAGGAGACAGTGGGAGCCCTGCGACCATAAGTATGCACAATCGGGGGGCGAGTAACAGACACATCAGACAAAGAGGAAGAAGAAGAAGAAGAAGAAGAGGAGGGGGGAAGATCAGCCGCATTCATATCACCAACATATGAGTCAGGGGAAACATTAAAGGAAAAGGGATCAAGATAGATAAGATCAGATTTATACAGAGATAAAGAACTAGATGAAATAGAGAAAAAAAGAATATGCTCCATAAAAACATGGCGAGAAATATACAGTTTTTGTGTACTAGGATCATAACACCGAAATCCCTTTTGTCCCTCATCATATCCAAGAAAAACACATAAGGCTGAGTGAGCCGAGAGTTTGGTACGATTAACAGTAGGTAGCAGAACAAAACATGTACATCCAAACACACGTAAGGAGAAATAGTCTAGTGTCTTACCACAAAATTTTTCAAAAGGTGAGACACCATAATTAATGATCGAAGGAATGCAATTAATTAGGTGAACTACTGTAAGGACTGCTTCTCCCCAAAAAGAGTTAAGGACACTGGATAACAACAACAAAGAACTAGTTGTCTCAATAATGTGACGATGATTTCGTTCAGCCACTCCATTTTGAGCAGGTGTGTCGGTACAAGAAGACTAATAAATAGTACCATCAGATTTCAACAAATCATAAAAAGAACTAAAAACATATTCTCCACCTTGATCACACCGAAAATATTTGATAATAGAAGAATATTGAGTACGTATCATAGCACAAAAATTAGTGAAAATGAAAAAGAACTCAAACCTACGTGTTATCAGATACACCCAACAATATCTAGTATGAACATCAATAAAAGAGACATAATATCTAGACCTCCCTTTAGTAACAATAGGAGCTGGTCCCCAAATATCATAATGTACAAGATCAAAAGATACAAGAGAATGAGAATTACTTTTATTGAAAGGTAATGCAGTAAATTTAGTCAACTTACAGCCACTACAATCTGAAATATCATGACACTCTAAACTACCCAAACTACTTGTAGAAGCTAAAAATTTTAAATGAGAATGAGAAACATGACCTAAACGAGAATGCCATAAATAAAAACTAGATGATTTTGGACTCAATTGAAAAGAAGATAAATCAACAGTAGACGCAACAATTTCAGGGACATGAAGCTCATCCAACACATATAACCCTCCACATCTATGGCCTGTCCCAATCAGCTTCTTGGACCGTGGATCTACACAACACAATCAGTAGAAGAAAAGTGAACTAAAAATTCCAAATCAAACAACTGACTAACAGAGATTAGATTTAAAGTAAGTTGAGGAATATAGTAGACATCAGAAGCTGAGAAGACACAATAGTTCCCACACCAGCCAAAGACATTTGGGTGCCATTGGTTGCAAGAACAGATACAGAAGGAAGGGAAACAATAGAAACAAATAGGGAAGAATTACTAGTCATATGATGAGTGGCTCCTGAGTCAAAGACCCAG